ATGGCCTACTACTGTGTACTCTGCTATTTAACAAGTAGCTGAAAGGAAAAGAGCTAGAGATCCATACTTTTCTCATGGCTATAAATAAGGAAGGAAGGCACAACAATATAAGCTAGATGGTGTGTGTGCATTATGGATTTCCAAGGAACTTTCTGGACAGATATTTATGATAATTACATGGGAAAAAAATTTCAAATTTCTGTTTGAATTTTTTTTTTTTTTTAAATTTACTGAACCACAACAGTCAAATTTTGATAACCGATTACAGCCATACAGTTTGACCAACCAAACCCGAACATATATTACCTTAAACAGCATTTTTCCTTGGTTTTTAAAGCCAAATTTAACTAATTTCCCACCACTGTGTGCTTTGGAATTGAGCTAAATATAGTAATACTCTTTATTATGCCTGGCCGAAATCGAAAAAGCAATGGTTTTACAATATTTGTCAATTTTTTTATCTTTCCTTTTGTTTGATGTATGGTTTAATAGGACTTCATGGGTTTATAATGATTTTATGAATGTCTTTTCAATGGATCCCCCAAAAATGCTGTTTTAGTGACATTTTGCAAGCAGTGAGCATTGCTATAGTAGAATTTGAATCTGGCTTACCATCTCCACTTTCTTTGCTGACTATTGTTACAGTACCAACACATAGAAAAGTATAGTCTGAAAAAGAGATTTCCTTTAATCTCTTGGGATTAAAAGCAAGTTTCATGATAATCATTGTTGTTTTCATGCTATGGTCAATCACCAGGAATTTTAACAGTTTTATAACTTTCTGTTCCTTCAAATCCAAACTTTTCATCGTCAGCAATCAGACTAAGAGTTGTCTCCATTCAGGGGGGGTGAATGGTTGCACTCTCTAATCCTTTTTTGGCTTTCAAGTTCACTCCAGATTTCAAGTGGAACTCATATTTACATGATTAGTAAAAGATACTGAAAGTATCTCTCAAGAAGACTCCTTGCCTTTCACCAGATCTAAAAAAAAAAAAAATGATTGGTTCATTGTACTGCATCAGTATCTGATTCCTCATGTTGTACTTTGTCTTTACAAGAGACAGAACAGACTGAAAATGAAGCATTGCTGCCAAACTACTTTCATTTAATACTACAGAGAACTTTTTTCTACCTGCCATCAGCATGGCTGATGCTAAACTCTAGAAAAGCAACACTTTATGCCTTTTTGGGCTCGTGTTTTCCACTGACACGAAGTAGTGCAACTATATTGAGTCAATTGCTATATTTACTGCTAGGAAAGCTGGTTTATTTTGTCATACCAGAAATTTTCTCTTGTCAGAATCCATCTTGTACATTTATGAATCTACCATTTGACAGTGCATTGCATATTGCTGACATATCTGGTTTCTATTATGACCTGATACTTCGACTTTCTCACTGATGAGACATGGCTTCCTTCTGTCTTTTCTATAAATATTTTCATGGCAACTGTTCTGATGAGTTTTTTTCTTAGTGCTTCGACTGAACAAATTCAGCCATACTACTAACTTGGCTACTAGATCTCACCATTTTTCTTTTGAACTAGCTTGATGCAACTGACACTTATATTCTAATAATTTCTCTCCTTACACTTCTCACCTGTTATTATAAAGCTACTATTCTATGGCTGTTATAACACACACTTACTTATATAACAAATTTCATATAAGGATTCTTTATACATAATGCTTTGACTATTTGCTGTAATGCCTGTATTAGTTAGTCTGAAGACTGACTCCAACTAGCTATCAGTCTTACCTCTGACTTGGAGCTCTTTATAGTAATGAAATAGTTCATATAGTCACCAGGGATATATTATTTACTCCACAACACCCACCCTCCTTTTAAAATTAATACTTTTTATAAATAATTTCTTTTTTATTAGTACTAGTATCTCCCCCTGCTCTTTCTGGAGAGTTTGCCAACATACTTGACTTTGTAATGTTTCCATTTCAGATCCACTTCCAGTTCTTCAATCCATTTTCTTTTTCTAGAACTTGTCCTTGTAGGTTCTACGACTTGTTGTGGTGCTGGCACATCAAAAACAGAATATTTTTATTTGTTCTTCCAATATTACAAGTCTTTTATCACTGAATCTTTTTTTTTTTTTTTTTTTGCTGATTATGGTGCCTTTTATGTTTGAATTTTTTCCACTTTAACCATTTAAATTAATTTCTTGATTCTTGCTGATATTATGCTTACCATGTCACCCTATGTTTCTTTGCCATCCTTATAAGCTCTAAACAACACTTTATTGCTGATCTTGAAATTTTTGGTGCCATTTTTGTTAAACATTCATGTTTTTCGACTTAGTAAAAACTTGTCAAATATCAATTTTACTCTTCTGGCAAACATTAATTCTGCCAGCAACATGCCTGATATCGTATTGGGGTTAGTTGTTACCTGGTAAACTCTCAGAAAATTTCGATGTCCTTCCCCATTTACTCAAGACTTGCTTTCTTCAACGCTCTTTTGAACATTCCCACAAACCCTTCTGCTTGTCCATTTGACCTTGGGTGATACGGTGGGGTTGTAACGTTCAATAGAGAACATCTTACAAAATTCTTGGAATTCTTTACCCGTGAATTGCATTCCGTTATCAGAGACTATGGTATCTGATATACCATATCTCGCAATCAGTTCATGCAAGAAATTCACTGTCACTGAAGATGTTGGATTTTTGCGCTCATAAATTTCTGGACATTTTGTGAAACTATCAACTCCCAAAAGATAATATGATCCATTGATAGGACCTGCAAAATCTATATACAGTCTTGACCACAGCCTGTCTGTCTTTGGCCAAGGTTCTGTCTTTGTGATAGGTAGTTTTGCTGATAGAGCACATCTTTCACTATTCTTTCAATATCTTGGTCCATTCCGGTCCAATATACAAAACTTCTCATAGATTTAATTCTAGAAATATGAAGATGTCCACAATGAAAATCCTTTAATATTTGTTTTTGTAATACACTCTTTATCACAACTCTTTGACTGTATATTACTATACCATCGCATATCAAGTAAGCATTTAAGTCTGGATTTCATTCTTTCTTACTTTCTTGAAATTGCTTTTTTCTTTCTGCAATAAAGATGTCATCTTTCACTTTTTTCTTTTATTTCATCCAGGATCACTGGTAACACTTGCACTGCGTTACACAAAATATTTTTATTTCCATTTCGCTTTTTAGTGCTGTGATGTCTGTCCTTCGATGGTTCTGCATTTTTAGTTATTAATCTAGATACTTCATCCGCATGTCCTAATTTTTTAGATGATTGGTACTCCATCATAAAATCATAATTTAATAGGATGGTACCGCAGCTTTGTAATCTATTAGACATATGAGTAGGTATACTTTTCTTTGAACCATATATTGTTAATTAAGGTCTGTGGTCTGTTTGCAATGTGAAATTTCTGACATGTATAAATTTATGAAATTTCTTCACGGCGAATATAATTGCTAGAGATTCTTTCTCTATCTGGCCTCATTTTTTTTTTTCTGCTGGTAGAAGCAATCGTGAAGCATGAACGAAGGCTTTCATTTCACCGTCATCATATTTATGTAAAATCACTGCTCCAATACTGTACTCACTAACATCTGACGACACTAGAAAGGGTTATCTCATCTAGTTTTTATTTAGTACTGCTTAGTCATTGTCTCCCACTGAGTTCAAGTATACACAGCCTAGCCCAGCAATTGAACTCACAATCTGGTGACATAGCAATTGTGAGTTCATTAAGTTACATAGAGCAACTTTAAAATATGTAGATATACTTTGGTGCACTTTGTACATAAACTTTGTTCAGCCAACAACAAAACTGTGCACACGCTACACGGCAAATGCTCAGCTCAGACTGTCTTCATCTCTATTATACTAAACTACCAATCTAACAACAATGAAGACCAATCATCTGACATGTTATATATGAACTTTTTTAGGAATTTCAATTTTTCTTTTTCACATTTTGAAATATGAACTTGTTTTTTTGTGATGCTCTTAATTTTATCTCTGGATACACCAATACAATGAGACGTACGGTTTTGAAAACATTAACATAAATAAATATTGTGTCTCATTGGTAATATGGGACAGTGAACGCTCTTTTAAAATAACGACGTCAACAAATTTTCATGAAGCTGTTTTATAATCATTCTGAGAAAGGCTTTAAAGAGTTTTTTTTATACATCATGTCCCTTCAGGATGTGGGTGATCATGGCTCTCCACAACTTCCTGTCCTTTGTAACTCTTAGAAATCTTAGTTTTTTTTACTATCCTTCACATTGTGTTCTGCCATCAGTTTACACAATGTTGTCCAGTAGGTCACTCTCGGTTTTATATTGTGACCTTGTACCAAACTTATTAATTTTTTAGGATGCCTTGGCATAGGGTAATGATTAGTGAATTAATTTGGGTGACTATTACTATTGAAAAATGAGTTTGATCTTCACTAGGTGTCATATACTAGTGGTCTTGTATCCACATCACATTAAAATACCAAAACAGTGAATGCTCTCTTAAGATAACAATCTCAGCAAATTTTCATAAAGTTTTTTGACATTGGCTCTGTGTAAGGCTTAAAAGGATTTTTATGTGCCATGTCTCTTCAAAACATAGACGATCTTAGCTCACCACAACTTCCTGTTCTTTGTTGCTTCTAGTTTCTTTGTTTTTTTGGGGGTTTTTTTATTATCTTTCCCACTCCTTGTTGTGTCAACCATTTACATAATGACTTTAGATACGTTACTCACTATTTATTCTGCCCTTCTTGCTTTCACTATGTCCCGTGAGTATCAAATTCTCTAAGTTCTCTTTCCTCATTATGTCCTAAAAAATTCACAATTGGAAATATTATCTTGCTCTTTTGTGATTCACCTAATTTTATCCCAGTGTAACGCAATGTACATTTTAAGAAAACACCCACATAAACGGTCTTTGTATAGCATTATGGAATACCAGTGAAAACTTTTTTAAAACAACAACTTGGCTTATAGCAACATCATGTTGAAACACCAGTTCCCATACAATCACCGAAGTTGAGCAACATTGAGCCTGTTTAGTATCTAGATGAGTGACTAGTTGGGAATACCAGGTGCTATAATCTTTGGTGTGTGGGTGGTGTAATGGATAATGGCTTGGAATTGTTAATCAGAGAGCCAAGTTCCAATTCTGGTTGGGTTCGTTATTCACTTACATACAAATACCCTTGAGAAATTTATGATGCCACCTCTTTTCCCTCTAGTTATGAGTAAAGCTTAGTAAAATCCTTATTCTCTGAAATAAATATTTTTACAATCTAAAAATATTTTCTGGTTTTAAATAACCTGTAAAGTTTTGATAAGCTGTAGAAAATGAATCCGTCAAATTAAAACAGTTTCATAAATTTGGGTTCTAAAATAAATGATAATTGACTTTGTGTGAGGCTTCAAATTGGAATACTTTTTTTTAAACTACACTTTGTTTTTAAATTTATTTCAACAGTTTTTTTTTTTTTTTTTTTTTTTTTTTCAGTATAATATCATTTGAGAATTTAATTCCATATTGACTGCATTGATTATTGTTATTTTGTTTTGTTTATTTATGTGTCATTTGCATCAGCCTAATTCAGGAAGACTTTCTCTTGTAATCTACAAAACTTTACTTGGGAAGTGTACATATAAAAACAGGTAAAAGATAAATTCTTAGAAAGTTTGAAAAGCTTTTAATACTTACTAAAAAAATTAGCAAAGTTTAAAACAAAATCCTTTGTTTTGTCATTTTGAAAAAGGTGTTTCAAAAAAAAAAATGACTATTTTATATTAATAGATTTAAAAAAATATTGCAACATCAAGGCGCGGAAAAAGATTATCAAAATAGTTTTTCTTTTTCAACTTTTCTGCCAGGTGAAAGAAATTGACTTGCTCTTGTGCAGTACATGACAAACATTAAAGTGGTGCAGACAGATGCACTAATAGCGTCAATGACATAGATGTATATGCATTTGCAAATGTGTTTTCTTTTTGCATTGTTTTTGTTTTGAATAGTGTAGCATTTTTATTTATTTATGTATTTTATTTTTTTTTTTTAGGTAAGTAAAAACTCAAGAAATTCTATCCAGATTTTGTGAGTGCGTGCCTCATTTTTTGGGTATTTTTCTAAATGCTTGTGTGTGAACTGTGAACTCTGGTAAGTGTATATATCTCAGTACATAAATGGTATTTTTTCTTTCTTTTTCTCGCTCACCCTTTCTCTTTTATTCATATTTTTCCTCTCATTCTCTCTCTTATTCATTTTTTCTCTTGCTCTCTCTTTTATTCATGTTTTTCCTCTCTCTCTCTCTCATTCACATTTTTCTTTCCCATCTTTTTCCAGTCTCTTTTTTTCTTTTTTCTTTTTTTCCTTTTTTGATGTCCTCCTATTTTTTTCTTTTTTTTTTTTTTTTAAACACTTTCTTTGCCCTATCTTCTTTTTCTTTAGTTTCTCCGTCCTACTAGTTTGACTTATAACTTTATGAAATCAGGTTGGCATAACTGCTGTCACATTCATAACCATTATTATTAACTTGGTTCTTTTATGCATAAGTTTTTTTCCTCTTCCTTTTTCTCTTTCTTTTTTTTCATCTCTCACTTTTTTTTTTTCCTCTTTCTTTTGCTCTTTTATTCATTTCGCTTACATTTCTTTTTTTTTTTTTTTTTTTTTTTTTTTTTTTTTTTTCCATGTTTTTTTTGTTTGTTTGTTTTTTTCATTTTTCACAAAAGGTAATTCAGGATATGACCTTCTCAAAAATTCTTTGGCAACCTGGCCCTTATTATTTGTCTGTTTCCAACACCTTATTTCATTCTCAAAAGTTTTCATCAGACATAAGATTCTAGCCTAACGTTATTCACTAAACCGAATCTGGCCAATTTCCACATTATGAATAACACTTTTCTTTCAGTATCCTTCCAATTAATGCTTTGACATCTTTGTTCAATTCATGGAAGCATCTTGTATTTAGAGGATTCAGGTCCACCAAACATCTAAAACTAGAGAGAACACCCTTCTTCTCATTTGCCAGTAAAAAATATCTTTAATGAAAAAAACTAGAAATAAAATTATCAATTATTATTTATTACTGAGAGGTTGAACTACAAAGAAAGTGTTGTCACTCTCGGCCCAATCTCAGATTGTTATCAATAAACTGACGTCACTAGTTAGGAGCAAATGAGAGAGAGAGATGGACATTTACATAAATACAATGATGACAAGGTTCATTTTTCAGATTAACTTTTTACTGTAGTGAGTAAGATCTTTAACAGGTACTCTACAGCTCTGACCTTATGCCAGACTAACTATATGTAATTGTTTGGGCATTTATTGTATGCCAGTTATTAGCAAGCTTTTCTTGCAGATTAATTTACTTTCATAGTGAATATTGCCTTCACTTAGTGCTCCATCATTTTGACCTTGTCCCAGACTAAACTTGATTTTAAAAAATAAAAAAATCTGAACTTTCCACACTACCAAAAATAAAAAGTTTGAAAGGAAACTACCACCAATAATCAAAAGAGCTATAACAGTGGACTTGAGGTTTAATTACTTAAAAATCTGTTTTTGTAAAAAGATTTTACATATTGCAGCACTAACTTTTTGGTTAATGAATGCCGAATGTTTCCTGTATGGCAACATCTAATTTTAACATGACCATTACCAAACTTCCCACACTACCTTAAACAAAAGACTTGGAAGGAAATTCCTGTCAATACCAGAAAGTGCGATAACAGTTGACTTGGGAAAATGAATTTACAGAAAAACTGTTTTTAGAGAGAGATTTTTTAAAATTTCAACCAACAGTTATGTTGTTTGGCCGATTCTGAATGTTCCCCGCCATGGCTAATTTCATCATTACCATGTGAATTTTCAACATTGCATAAAGAATTTAGAATAGGCAATTATTGATAGACTGACTATCAAAGACCATCTACTTTTTGATTTCTAACATCATCATGTCAAGATGCATCAATGACTTTTCTTGACTCTGGTTTGTCCACTTGTGGGCCTTCATCCGACATTAATCATTGAATATTGTACACTGAATCTTTGCTAAGGTTTCAGTTTTATACAATGAGTCAACAACTAAGGTTTCTGTTTTTGTGATGTTCATTGCAATGTACAACCAAATTAGATTGAGTTTGTTGAACTCTTTACTGAAATTTATACATTATGCCAACAACACACACCATTCTCCTGAGTTCTTTCTCAGTTTAACATATTTTTTGACTAGATTTATTTATTAATATTGTCTTGTCATTTCATATATAAAATAATAATTCTCATTACATCTGTTATGCAACCCATATCTTGGTAGTTTTTTTTATTACCAAAATTCACCTAATTTAAGACTCAAGAGACCCTCAAGTTAGAGCGTTGTTGAATGAGGAGTGTCATACAAATGTAAAAGGATGTAGAAGGATGTGAAAATAAGGAAGTTAGATCATGGTTGACCCTTGAAGAAGTTAAGATTATGTCCAAGGAGGCATCTATATGGGTGTCTGTTCCACAAAATAGAAGTTGGTGGTGGCAGGGAAGAGCTGAGTGGAACTTATTTCTTACAAATGGAATACAGAGGAGATGTGGTTGAATCGACTCCATGGACATCACCTGGTGAATCCCAGCTGTAAATTTCTGAACTGGTGAAACTAAAGAGTATCTGAAAATTTGCCATGGAAATAGCGAGATAAGGTAGCATCTTTTACGTCTGTGGGGAAAATAGGCTGGAAAATAAGTCCTCTACAAGACCATGTAAACAATTTTGAACTCTCTCAAGTCTAGAAAGTGAAGATGGTGCAGCTCCAGCTCAAATATGGCATTTATGCTCTGTTTTTGGTTATTTTACTGCTCCAGAAATGACGTTACTCCTTTGGTCATGTATTATGTTTACGGAAATCAGATTCAGGATAAAGCCTGGCCAAAGGACTCTGGTACTTTTAGGGTAGTAAAATGAGCCAGACATTCACCCCCCCCCCATGTCTTTAGCAAGAGATCATACATATGATTTTCACTTGAGATCTCTAGTGAAACTGAGTTCCAATAGACATTCAAAGCATGGATCCTCTTTGAGAACTCGACCGTTCCTCATGACTGGAGAAACCTTAGTGACCGATGGTGACATAATGCTACCATGTTTTATGAGGTATTGAAAGTTATAATCCTGTTTCAAATTGAGCTTTTAGACATAACTAGGACATTAAATAGGTCAGAATATCTACCTAACTCTAATGATGGTATATCAACAAATTCTACCTTAGAGTGGAAAAATGAAAGAATAATCCAATATTTTAAAACTGACAGAATTTGAACATATTATGCAAATGCATAGGCAAGGTTTCAAGTTTTTATTTTGTTGCCCACTTACTTTATCATTACTCTCAGTGTTCAACCCATTGTAACTGTCCCCCATGTATACTCTGCCATAATATATATGATGACATCATCACAAATAGCACAGAAAGTCAAGCAAGCATTAAGACTGACCACAATCAGCAAGACTTTGAGAGACAATATTTATGGCATGGATTTGAGCATGTTGACAGCTGAAGGGTTAAAGCTAATTTACATGGAAAAGTCCTGATTAGAATTTTAAGTTTTACTTCTTTTAAAATATTTACTGTTCAAAAAAAAAAAAAAAAATGAATATTTGCTGAAATTAGGAATGAGCATAATTAGACACATAATCATTGATTAATTAATGTGAATGAGTTTAAGAATCAACTATTAACTTGCACACATGCATATATCGGAGCAATTGGGAATGAATTTAAAAAAAGATCTGCAAGACAATTTTTGTTATCATTCAAATATGAAAGATAGAGATAACATCATGTCATCAAAACACTAAGGGGAACTAAAAATGAAAGGGTGTGGTGAATAAAGAAAACAGCAACCAGCGAGTAAATTCAAGCTCTCCCAGCTGGTATTTCAACCTCGAGTCGTTCCTTCTTGAGTTCTGTCTCAAAATCACACCAACAGACTGTTCTAGCCACCAACCGTGAACGTCACTCAAAGAACTTCCCGCACTGGGAAAAAGTCATTGCTTTTATATTTGTCCATATACCCATAATCCCTTACATCTTCATGCGAT